GGGCCTGGCGGCGGCCCCCGGACCCCTCGCGGAAGCTCGGCAGTGCGCGTGCGCGGTGCCGCACTCCACGTTAGAGAAGGGACAGCTAGTGGTTGTCCGGGAGGGGTAGCGGGGGCAGTCCCCGGAAATAATCGCTATTCTCAGTCACCGGGAATTGGCGAGGTATCCTCTGCGGTGGAGAGGTACGCGCCCCCTCCCTCCCCCCGCCGGGCCGCGGCCGGCCACGCCCACCCGGATCCGGGCTCGCGGGAGCCGCCGGCAGGGCTCCGGCGTGGGCGGGAATGCCCGGGGGTCGGCTCGGGGCTGCCGAGGCTCCTCGGGGCGCGGGGAGTCTCTGTCTCGGACCCCAGGGCCCCGCTGTCCTTCTGGAAGCCCGGGGCTAAGCCCCAGGGGCGCCGGCTCCCGTCCTCCTACCCCGGAGACGGTGGCAGGGCCGACGTGGCGGGCCTCTCGGTGGTTCTGGGTGGGCTTGGCCGGCGGTGAGGAGAGCCTGCCGCTCCTCCTGGGTCGCGTGGAGCCGCGACCCCCTGAAAAGTTTCAAGTAGGGAGAGGGTGTGCGCCAGTTCGCCCGTCCTTGAGGACCCCGACGGTTCCTGGGGCCTGGTTCTCCCAGTGCCGTGCTGAGAGCTGGCCTTCTTCCTTAGTGGCTAGGTGGATCGTCTGGAGCTCTCACGTTTTTAAAGGCCTGAATCTCTGCAGAATTACCGATAAATTTTTATGCGATATAACATATTCAAAAAAGTGCATACAACGGACATGTTTCAAGAGTAATTGATAATAAAACACCCATAAAAAATAAAGAACATTGCCGGTACCTCAGGAATTCCGCGCGCACCTAGTGTTCCTTTCTGAGCACAATTCCCTCCCTATACTGACTTTTATCATATTCACTTTATTGCTTTTCCTTGTAGCTTTACCTCAAATGTCTGCATGCCCAAACAGTATAGTTTTACTTTGCCTGTTTTTGAACTTTTATTGAGTGGAATCGTGTTATTTTGTGGCTTTGAATTAATAGTAAATTTGTATATATCTATAGGTATTTTTCATTGCTGTCTAGTATTCCATTTTATGAATATAACAGTGTATCCATTATACTGTTGATGAGCATTTTGTTGTTCCACTTTGGGGCTGCTAAGAACTATACCTAGATACTAGTGCAAATGTAAGAGTTTCTTTAGGGTACAGGCTTGGAGTCCTAGGAGAATTGTTGAGTCGTAGGGTATGCATGCATAACTTTACCAGATAATGCCAAACTTTTATTTGGGGTGCAGCAAAGTTAACTTCCCAGGACACATCTTTACTTTGCTTTGCAGTTCATGGAGCACCCCCCCCCCTTTTTCCCATTAAGAGTAAGTTTTGTCATTGAGCATTCAGAACTGCAAAGACAGCATTGAGTTCTTTTTTTTTTTTGCTGAGGAAGATGGGCCCTGAGCTAACATCTATTGCCAGTCCTCCTCCTTTTTTTCTCCTTTTTCTCCCCAAAGCCCGAGTAGATAGTTCTATGTCATAGTTGCACGTCCTTCTAGTTGCTGTATGTGGGATGCCACCTCAGCATGGCTGGAGAAGCCGTGGCCTCCAGTAGCAGAACACACGCACTTAACTGCTAAGCCACAGGGCTGGCCCCCAGCATTGAGTTTTTACTGATGCATTACGGAGTACCAGTTAAGAGTTCACATGTGCTAATTTATCATTTTGTGAATGTAAAAAATCTTATCCAAAGTCTTCTCAGTGGTCTTCCTTTTAAACGTTCTTCCATACTCTAAGGGCAGAGAAACGTTTAGAAATGATAAATTTGTATCTCCCCTGCCTTTGTTTCCTGTAGGGGTGCCTCTGGATCTTTGTCAAACCAGAGTCCCTCCATGCCACACTGGGCTGTTTCTGTAGAATCCCTAGCACTGTGAGTGACCATTACCCTTGTTAGACATGTAAAGTTAGTAATAAACCTGACTCCCAGGCACTTTGTCTTTGGATGTGGAGGAGAACAAGATGCTAGCCTTTTCTGGAAGGACTGTGGTATAGTGAGCACCTTTACTCCACCTGCTCAGGTTTTCAAGGCTTTGACACCATTGACCTAAGCTGCCTTTTGTCAGCTTGACTGCTCATCCACAATGCATTTGTGCAGGATGTTGCAGTGTTCTTGAGGTTTCGTGCTGTAGCTCCCATTACCTTGGATGAAGGAAATTATATTAAAAGCCTCTTGGGGGCCGGCCCCGTGGCTTGGCGGTTAAGTGCGCGCGCTCCGCTGCTGGCGGCCCGGTTCGGTCCTGGGCGCGCACCGACGCACCGCTTCTCCGGCCATGCTGAGGCCGTTTCCCACGTACAGCGGCTAGAGGGATGTGCAGCTGTGGCATGCAACTGTCTGCTGGGGCTTTGGGGAAGAAAAAAAAAAAAAAAGGAGGAGGACTGGCGATAGATGTTAGCTCAGAGCCAGTCTTCCTCAGCAAAAAGAGGAGGATTGGCGCGGATGTTAGCTCAGGGCTGATCTCCCTCACCAAAAAAAAAGAAAAAAGGTTTCTTGGATGTGAGTAATTGTCTGCTGAAGCCATGTGGCCATCACATTTCTACATGAGCTTGGGTAAAAAGACCTTGAGTTTCTCCTTTGAAGTTATGGAATTTCCTGTATTTCTCTTATTTTTCTGTGAGCTTTCTTTCTTTTTTTTTTCTTCTGAAAGCCTTGAAAAAGACGGAAGAGAGCTGAGTGGAACTTGTAGCTGTTTCCTTACTCCAGTTAGTCGGAGGCTAGTCCTCATCTACAGTTGTGTATCAGAGTCAAGTAAGCATGGTGGTATCCTGCGTGACAGGGTCCCCAAGTTTATCCTGTCTTCCCAGGGAATACACACTGAGAGCTTTGATTAAAGACACTTTGAGATGCTACATAGTATAGCCGTGAGGACGGCATGGCTAAGTGCTGTCATGGTTCTGCTGATTCCTTGACAGTTGTCAATAATAGTAATCAAAATATTATAGCTTCCATTTGCTGAGAGCCCATAGGATGGGCCAAGCAATATGCTAAATGCTTTACCTTCATTATCTCATAAACTCTACAAAACAAGGCGCTTTTTTTTTTGCCAAAAAAGCAGACATTTGATATGTTTCAAATTAATTTTATGTATTTACGTATGAGGAAACTGAGAGCCAGATTTTACGTAAGTACACAGTTATCTGACTCCAAAGCTTATGCTTCTTCGATATGTTAAGCTATTCTCCAATAAGACAGCCAGCTAACCAATGACTAAGTCAAAGCTGGAAACCAGCTCCTCTTCAGGTTTCTATCAGTTAAAACACACAGCTTCCAAGATCTACAGTGTTTTGTTTCTATAAATCTCAAATAGTTAAAAACAGAGTACTAGTAACTCTTATTTTCATATTTGATGGATTTTATGAGATAGATTAGATACCACGTTCTGTCAATTTAATAACTTTATTTCAGGGTTTCAAGTAAGCAGCATTTAGCGGCCCCTACAACATGTAATATTCCCTGTGCACTGCTCAGGGGAATAAGATGTGGTCACTATGGGTGCCTCCCAGTGCCCTTCACTGTCATCTTTAGAAGGCACCATCGGGAAACTGAGGGTGTCTAGGTGGTAGGTAAGAATGGGACTGGAGACAGACATTTTGTTTTATCATATTTATTTTTTGTTTGTTTTTGGTTTTTTTGCTGAGGAAGATTCACCCTGAGCTAACATCTGTTGCCAATCTTCCTCTTTTTGTATGTGAGCCACTGCCACACCATGGCCACTGACAGACCGGTGGTGTAGGTCCGTGCCCAGGGACTGAGCCCGGACTGCTGAAGCAGAGTGTGCCAATCTTAACCCCTAGGCCACTGGGGCTGGCCCATAGACAGACATTTTAAATCTTTGAGCACTGAAGCCTAATTTTCATCTCTCAAGGGAGGAAGCAGGCACTGGCTTTTATTTTTATTGTTAAAGTAATACATACTTGGAAAGAATTCAAGCTATAGAACCGTATCCTGGGAAAGGTGAAGCTCTCCCAGTGCTGCTCCCCACTTGTAACCACTTTAACCTTTGGTATTTATCTTTCCTGACTTTTTTTCTATACCAAAAAAACTCTGAATCAGAGAATATGGTGGTGGAAGAAATTTAAGAAATCCTGAAGTCCAGCTTTTACATTTGCAGAAAATGGGAGGCCCTGAGAACTTAAGTGGTAGCAGAACTGGAGCTACACTGCAGGGCTGTTGGTGTGCACGCAGCAATGCTCGGCTTGAGCTGAGAGCCTGTGCCACTGGGCAAAATCAGCAGCACTGATCTGTTCTACACAGGTCCTGACTGTGAAAAGCAAAAGTTGGAGAACTGAAGTTCAGGTTGACTTTGGAATTCATTTTCAGGATTGAGGTATTGTGTTATCTCCTCAAGTAGAAAATTGTATTTCTTTTTATTGTTTATCCCCTGTAATCTGAGATCGGCCTCTTTCCAAACAGAAGAGGTGTTGTAATACCTCATTTTTTGAGCCACTGGCTCCTGCAGTTCCTTTTTTTACTCTGATTATAAGAAGAACTACTGGTGGGAGTTGAACTATTAAGGCCCCCACAGTAGGTCCGACACCATCAGTAGTTCTCTGTGTGGGAGCCCTGGGTTTAGCTGGGATTTCCATATGACAGGAAGATGCAGCTGACCTCTCTGTTCCTCTCAGCAGCTTATCAACAGTCTCCCCCTCCTCCCCTCTCTCTACTCAGGCACCTTGTTTGGTGATACCAGAATTTGTGGTAGTAGAAAGTAACGCTGCATTTCAACACCATTGGGAACTTCTGCTATAAAATGATGCAAATAACATATGGCTCTGAAATATTTCAAGTATCCTGGATCTCTGAGCTCTTGGAATTGTGCATGAAGCAGCATCTTAAGGCTGTACCCGTAGAAGTCAAATATCTCTCTCTATTTTTATACGGTAGAATATATGTAATTTGTACAGTAGAATTTGGTCACATTACCACTGATTGTACTTGGGAAGACGTAGGAACAAATGTAACCCATTTTTTAAAAAAAAGTACCAAGTAGTAAACTGTGTAAATGTGTACATAGGAGAAAAGCCCCGCCACTCTGTGAGACAGATTCAGAAATTAGAGGCTGGGAATCTTGACACAGGGGAGTTTGAGCCTATTCTCAGAGTGTCCTGGTATACGCCTTCATAATGGAGATTTGAAACCTGTCATTAGAAAGTTGCTGATGTATCAAGTGATTACTACGTGTAAAGCTGATGAAAGCCGCCTTTGATCTGTTTGTTTGCTTAAGTTTCTTCCATGAGGTGATTTTCTTACTAGCAGCCAGTTCAGATCCTTTTCAAAGGTGTTCGACTTTCACAGTCAAGTGACCTCCTAACAGAGACTCACCTGATTAATGATTGTATTGAATAAAAACTTTTTTCAGTGCGGTAAGTTACATAAATACAGAATTTTGTAATTGTGAATAGTCATATGTATGTAATTGAATATTTATTTCCTTTATTTCCCTTTAAGTGTCTTATAAGTCTTTCAACTTTCCTGTTTTGCCAGTAAAAAATATGAATAAATTTTTCTGAAAAAATATGAATTACCTGTGATATTTGGACACTGATGTGGTTGGGCTATCTTCCCTCATACGTATAGAAATTGGGTATTACCATTTTTCTCTAGTTTAGTGTATGGGAAGGAGAGTTTCATACCCTCCCTTTTCTCTTCATAAGGAAATGCAGCCTCAGAGTGATTCCATATTCCAGGCAGTTCAAAGAATTCTGAACCATAAGATGAGTTTATTCCCAGGTGAGGTTAATAGTTTTTCAAGCACCAGAATTTTCATTAATTCAAGTAGTCTTAGTGTAGATATAAATGTCTTCTAGCCTCAATGTCTTTTACTTTTCAAATTACTAACACGATAAGTAAGGCGAATCACTCTTATTTAAACATATATTTATTAGGTCTTACTGTGTACAGGGCACTATGCTAGGTAATATAGGAATATTTACAGAAGAAGACAATATACTTCCTTCCCTATCCATACATGGTAAATTCCATGATGCACATTCAGTGCCATGAGGGAGAAGAAGGATCTGATTTACTTGGAGAATTTATTTGGTATTCAAGAGTGGGAAAAGAGCAGTTGTTCAAGAGGAATGTCTTTTTTTCTTAAAGGAGCTAAGCTTGAAGAGGAAAGGGTATTTTTAAAAAATCTGCTTTAAAAGAATGTAAATCGGGGCTGGCCAGGTGGTGTAGTAGTTAAGTTTGCACTCTGCTTTGGCTGCCCGGGGTTAACGGGTTCGGATCCCAGGTGTGTACTGTCACACTGCTCATCAAGCCATGCTGTGGCAGCGTCCCATATACAAAGTGGAGGAAGATTGGCACAGATGTTAGCTCAGGGCCAGTCTTCATCACCAAAAAAAAAGTAAATGGATGATAAATTATAGTAATTGTTTTTCTTAAAAGAAATAGAATATAAATATAAATATGTCAGTTATATGTATATTGCTTTTATTAGCATATTTCATTTTCACTGTGTCATTTGTAACTTTCATCTTGTTTCTGTATCTTTTAGACTTGGAATGGCCAAATATCAAGGTGAAGTTCAAAGTTTGAAACTGGATGATGATTCAGTCATAGAAGGAGTAAGTGACCAAGTACTTGTGGCAGTTGTGGTCAGTTTCGCTTTGATTGCTACCCTGGTATATGCACTTTTCAGGTGAGACTAAAGGACAAAAGAATTGAAATCATATGTATTTCCAAGGCCACTGACTTTATCACTGCTTCTAGTAATGTTTAATACTTAATATGAAAAGCAAGTAATAGATCTCAGGAATTGTACATATTTACTAAGGTATTTTCTTTTCCCCTACACTCTAAATGCTACCTTATATTTTTCCTGTCATCAACTGTCTTAGTGGATAAAATTTAAATTTATCATCCATATTTTGAATAAAATGTTAATATTTTCTATAGGAGTATCACAGTTTAAAAATGTAATTTTCATAATTGAATCCATCACCTTGTAGGTGATATAATAAGTGCAAAATATTTTCAGTTTTTAAATGGAAAAACTGAGGCAAAAAAAAGAACTTGGACAGTATAGAGGGGATTAAGATTAGAATTAAAATTACTGTTATAGAACCTGGAATAATATTTAAAGGTCTTGGATGTCTATATACCAATAGACGGAGACTAGGTAATAAACTAGAAATTTAGGTGTAAACACATAGAGATAAGTAAAATTTTATATATATCATTGAAAACAGAAATGGACAAAAAAGTATAAAATAGAAAAAAGATTAATTTCAAAAAGTGCAGATCAGTGAGTTTCCTGTAAAAATTATAGAAAGGATTATTAAATGGAATGTGAATATTTAGAAAAAAATGGTGATTAAATTACTCTTTTACCTCTGCATGGCTAGTTTCTTATTAGGGTAATGTTATCTTGATTTCAGTAGCGTATTTTACACAGTACCTGGTGATACACTTACGAACATAACGGGGAACTGATGACTAGATGATAGCTGATTTAAATGAATTTACACCTGGTTGACAGGTTGTTCCCAGGAGTACTGACTAATGTTCGAAAGTAAACCAAGAAAGGAAGACACTGAATTGTTGCCAGGCTCTGCCCTTGAGCCTTTTCTACTCATTTCTATTAGCAACTGGGATGAAGAAGACATAAGAAGCATCCTAATTAAATTGTCAGTTGGGAAGGATAGCTAATGGTACAACAGAATCAAGATTCAAAAATGGCTCATTCCATACATCTGTGGTCAACTGGTCTTTGACAAGGGTGCCAAGACCTTTCAGTGGGGAAAGATTTCAACAAATGATGTTGGGACAACTGGATAGCCACATGCAAAAGAATGAAGTTGGGCCCATACCACATTATTTGCAAAAATTAACTCAAAATGGGTCAAAGATCTAAATGTAAGAGCTAACCTATGAAAATCTCGTAAGAAAACATAGGAGTAAATCATCAGGATTCTTGGATATGACACCAAAAGCATGAGCAACAAAAGAAAAAAACAGATAAATTGGACTTCATCAAAATTGACAACATTTGTGCTTCAAAGGACAGCATGAAGAAAGTAAAAAGACAATCTGCAGAATGGGAGAACATATTTCAAATCATATGTCTGATAGGCACTTGTATCTGAATATATAAAGAACTCAAAACTCAGTAATAAAAAGACACATAACCCAATTAATAAATGGGCAAAATATCTGAATAGACCTTCCTCCAAAGAAGATATGCAAATGGCCGATAAGCACGTGAACAAATGCTTGACATCAGTAGTCATCAGGGAAATGCAAATCAAAACCACAGTGAGATACAAGTAAATACCCACTAGGATGGCTTGAATCAAAAAGTCAGATAATAACAATTGTTGTTGAGGATGTGGAGAAATTAGAACCTTCATACACTGCTGGTGGGAATGTAAAAATGGTGCAACCACTTTGGAAAACTGTCAGTTCCTCAAATGATTAAAGATAGAGTTACCATATGACCAAGCAATTTCATTCCTAGATACACATACCCATGAGAAATGAAAACATATTTCCACACCCAAACTTGAACAGGAATGCTCATAGCAGCATTATTCATAATAGCCAAAAAGTGAAAACAACCCAAATATCCATCAGCAGGTGAATGGATAAACAAAATGTGGTATATCCATACAATGGAATATTATTCAGCTATAAAAAGAAATGACATACTGATACATGCTACATCATGGATGAAACTTGAAAAACATGCTAAGTGAAATAAGCCAGACACAAAAGGCCACATCTGAATCTGTTCATATGATTGTCCACAATAGGGAAATCTGTAGAGATAGAAAGTGGATTAGTGGTTGCTTAGGACTGGGGTGGCAGGTGGGGGTATAGGAGGTGATAGCTAAAGGGTATAGGATTTCTTTTCAAGGTGATGAAAATGTTCTAAAATTGACTGTGGTGATGGTTGCAGATGTCTGTGAAACCATTGAATTGAACCTTCTAAATGGGTAGATTGTATGGTGTGTGAATTATATCTCAATAATTATAAAATAAAAAATGGGTCATGACTAGGCAAATACAAATGAAGTATCTGCTCTTTACCTGTTAAGAATGGGATGCAGATAGAACTTTATTTTCACGTAAAAGTCTCCGTGATAAATTGTTGAGTGAGAGACACATCACAAAACCATAAGTCAAGTAGCCGATTTTGTTTAAAAATTTTTATAAGATTAATTTTATTTTAAAATATTTTTCTTTTCCATTATTTGTTTTTCTAATTTCTCTACTATGGATATTTATTACTTGTATAATAAAAGTCTTTTCCCCACAGATTGGAATGATGTGAAACTGAAAGTTTCTATTTAATAAGGCAATTATATATCGTAAATGCCAAACACTTAACAGTATTAGGCTGCATTAATCAAAATACCCAGATAAATGTCACTTTTGGATTGTATTCAGTTTGGGTCAAGAATTTTAAAATGGAAAACCTTCAGGGGAGGTTATCAGAATGAATAAAGCTACGGAAACAAATCATATAAAAATGCTTGAAGGAACTGGGGATATCTAGCTTAGGGAAAAAGACGAACATAAAAGCTGTCTTTAAATATGATGAGGGCTTGTTTTGTTGAAGCAGAATTAGATTTATTCTGTGTAGCTCCACGGGCAGAACGAAGGCCAATAGGTGAAGATAAATAATGAGATTTGGGCTCAACTTAAGAAATAATTTTTCAAATTATATAAGGTGCTCCCCATTACTTGGTCAGTGTTTTGAATCTGTCATATGGTTGGGTGGGAGGTCAGTTTAAATTCCTGTCCCTCTCTTCACATTCAGATTCAATTGGCAGTTGTAATCCTGTTACTTCAACTGAAGTAATCAATTAGTGATGAGTTGTGGGAGGAGTAGCATGCATAGTTTAAAATTCAAGCAAAGGAACCTTCTGTCTCTTTCCTGTAATTTCTTTGATATTTTTAGTCATTATAATTAATTCTTTCTTTTGTATTGTGGTAACATATACATAACATAAAATTTACCATTTTAAATGTACAATTCAGTGGCATTAAGTACATTCACAGTGTTGTGTAACCATCACCACTATCTATTTCCAAAACTTTCTCATCATCCCAAACAGAAACAGTACCAATTATAATTCCCTCTCCCTCCTCCCCATCCCCTGGTAACCTTTATTCTACTTTCTGTCGCAATGAATTAGCCTATTCTAGGTAACTCATAAAGTAGAAGCATGCAATATTTGTCCATTTCTGTCTGGCTTATTTCACTTAGCGTAATGCTTTCAAGGTCTGTCTATGTTCTAGCATGTATCAGAATTTCATTCCTTTTTATGGCTGAATAATATTCCATTGTATGTATATACCACATTTTGTTTATTCAGTCATCTGTTAATGGACATTTGGGTTGTTCTCACCTTTTGGCTATTGTGAATGATGCTGCTGTGAACATTGGTATTATAGGGATCTGAGTCTCTGCTTTCAATTAGAATTGCTAGATCATATGGTAATTCTATGTTTAACTTTTTGAGGAACCTCTAATCTGTTTTTCAGAGAGGCTGCCCATTTTACATCCCCCTAGCAATGCATGAGGGTTCAATTTTCTCTACATTCTTGCCAAAACTTGCTACTTTCTGTTTTTTTGATGAGTCATCCTAATGGGTGCGAAGTGATATCTCGTGGTTTTGATTTGCATTTCACTAACGACTAATGATGTTGAGCATCATTTCGTATGCTTATTGGCCATTTGTTTGCCTTCTTTGGAGAAATGTCTAGTCAAGTCCTTTGCCCATCTTTGAATTGAGTTGTTTGCTTGTTTGTTTTTGAGTTATAGGAGTTCTTTATATATTCTTTATATTGCACAAAAGTTTTTATTTATTTTTTTGCGAACTGGGTTCGGCACAGTGTTTTTTTTTTTTTTTTTAAGTTTTTAATTTTGATGAAGTCAAGTTTATCTGTTTTTTTGTTGTTGCCTGTGTTTTTGGTTTCATTAAAGAAATCATTGCTAAATCCAAGGTCATAAAGATTTTCTCCTGTGTTTCCTTCTAAGATTTTTATAGATTTAGCTCTTAAGTTTAGGTCTTTGATTGATTTTGAGTTAATTTTTGTATATGGTATGAGGTAAGGATCCAAATTCATTCTCTTGCATGTGGATTTCCAGTTTTCCCAGCACCATTTGTTGACAAGACTCTCCTTACCCCGTTGAAGGGTCTTGGCATCCTTGTCAGTTGACCACATATGTGCGAGTTTACTTCTGGTCTCTGTGTTCTGTTCCATTGGTTTATGTGTTTATCCTTATGCCAGTACCACACTGTTTTGATTACTAAGTTTTGATATCAGGAAGTGTGTGTCCTACAACTTTGCTCTTCTTTTTCAAGATTATTTTGGCTATTTGGGGTCCCTTGAGATACCATATAAATTTTAGAATGGGTTTTTCTGTTTCTGCAGAGAATGCTGTTGGAATTTTGATAGGGATTGCATTGAATCTGTAGATAGATCACTTTGGGTAGTATTGACATCTTAACAATACTAAGTCTTCCAGTCTATGAACATTAGGTGTCTTTCCATTTATTTGTGTCTCCTTTAATTTCTTTCAGCAATGTTTGGTAGTTATGATTCATTTCTTTTTAAATCTTTTTTATTTGTTCTTTCCTTCTTGAGCTATTAGTAAGTAGCTGCCATTTGTTGACATACCAGAAGCCAGTCTGGTATGCATTTTAAAGTGGTATGCAATTTAACCTATCAACCACATACTTTTGCACATTTGTAAACTTTGATTCAAACTTTCTTTCTTGACCCAGGGTCTGGGTATCATTTCTTTCCTCATATCAGAGGTTCCTGGCTCCTTTCCAGGGCCACGTATAACTTCACCGGTTTGATAGTTTTGGTTTCTTCTTTCAAAGAACAAGAAGGACCATAAATCGTTGGTAAATACAATAACAACAACAAATGTACTTTGGTTCTATATTAGAGCCACTGTTTTCCTTGGCATCTTACTTTAGACCTGCTTAGTGTCAAATGCCCTGTCATTTTCTTGTAGCTAAGGTGATCATATGTTCCAGATTTTCTAATCTAGCTTTCAGTCTATCTTAATTTATCCCATTGTTTTCTAAATTTTTGGTTCTGTACTAATAGTTGCCAGTCATTTAATTACCTGAGCTACAGGCCGTGTTCAGCATCTTGGGCTGTTTGTTCTTATTCTTTGGCTATATATATATTTTTTTTGTTGTTTTTTTGTGAGGAGATCAGCCTTGTGCTAACATCTGCCAATCCTCCTCTTTTTTTGCCGAGGAAGACTGGCCCTGGGCTAACATCCGTGCCCATCTTCCTCCACTTTATATGAGACGCTGCCACAGCATGGCTTGCCAAGTAATGCATCAGTGCGCACCCGGGATCCGAACCCGCGAACCCCGGGTCGCCACAGCGGAGCATGCGCACTTAACCGCTTGCGCCACTGGGCTGGCCCCTCTTTGGCTGTATTTTCACTTTTCTAATACTCTACTACCAGATTTAAGAATCTTATATCTTTTATGTAAAGAAACCAAAAGAAAGACCTTCCAGTCACATGGTTTATATCTATACTTTAAAAAGTCATGACTATCTTTTTCCAGTGAAAAGGGAATGGTTTTCCACTGTCAAAAATGGAGAAATGCCACTTAGCTCGGTATTTACTGGTATTTAAATGAGATGGTTCCGGTGTTGTTCCTTGATAAATTATTTTCACCATAGAGTAGCTTACTTTCATAGATCATTTTTTCAATCACAGGAATATAGCATTTTACAATAAATAATCCACCAAAATTTAAGGTGTTTAAACAGAGTTCAAGTAGTTTCATTGTATTTATGTTGAGCTTGTGATTAGATATTTGACTTAAATTGTTTTTATGTCCACTCTGAACTAATGGTTATATTTTGTCAGCTTTCTTTTCTAAAATTTGAATTTTTTACTAAAAATTAAATATTCGTAGGATGGATTTCTTTAATTTTCCCTATCCCGTTAGAATATTGATTTAGAGTTCTTATCACTGTTGGATATTGGTTCACCTGGAGAATAAAGACTCTTCTATAGAGTAAAACTGGGATTGTATGCACTTAAAATTATTGCTGTTAGAGGTTTAAATTTAGAAAAACTTATACAGCCAAATGAAATTAAGCTGATATCTTTACCCCTCCGTATCAACCTAGCCACCACTTCTAATTTCAATACTCACGTCTTATCCCATCCTTTTATATCAGCCACTAACTTCTTACCTTGGATTCTCCATTTAAATCGTTAATGTTAAGATACTAGTGGAATGTTAGGTTTTGGCTTCTCTACATTATGTAATTTTAGTTTTTGTTTTTCTCTCTTCCCCTCTCCTCACAGGTGAAAAGTTGGGACAAAGACCTAATTAGATATGGAAAAGTGTTCAAATGTATAATATATAGAATTATATAGCTGCTTATTTTGAAGGAATTTTACAAAAGAAATAAATGTGTTGTTTTTTATATTATTTGTGTCTGCAGTTTCATTAAATCCTCAAGTACTAGACCTCTGGATTTCATCATTTGCCAGTTAAACCTGAAATGAGCTGATAATCAGTGATCTCAGAATAGCCTGGAATCTTCAGTCCTGGAACTGGAGTACAGTCATATGCCGTCATTTACATTTAAGTTACCAGTAGAACTAGGTTGAAAATTAGACCCTTAAAGAAAACTGATTCATCTGACAATATTTTATATTCAAAGTTTATTCTGTTTTATTCAACAGAAATGCACATCAAAACATTCACCCAGAAAACCAAGAGCTAGTGAGGGTGCTTCGGGAGCAACTTCACTCAGAACAGGTACTGTTGTTATATAGACATGCATTTATGTAAGAGCAGATGTTATTACTCCCCTCGCATAGGAAATTGTGAGGAAGCATTAATAAATTACCTTTTGGAAAAGTAAAAAATGGGCTTCTTTTCTGCTTTAAGTTACCTTAAATTATTCTATTGATTGTATATTTTCAGATTAGGCAAATGACTAGTCTTAACATATTCAGATGTTTTCATGAGTTGTTTTTTAACTTGCTTTAAAAGACTGCAGTTTTCCTATTATTTACTCGTGAGAAAATAATTGCTAATTGGCTTTAATGAAAGGTAGTGGAAAAACTATTCTTTCTAACATGTTTTCCCCTAAGACCTACACGGAAATGACTATAAGGGGTGGCTTTTTTTTTTCCTTTTCTTTTTCTTCAATGGTAAAAAGTTAACAAAACTAGTTAGGCAAAGACAAAAACTTTTCTCCTGTGCCTCTTCTTTGCTTTTAACCAGATGGACTCTCTAAGAACCAGAAATGTAATACATTTTATAAAAGCTGCATTAAGTAGGATATTGTACATCTTCATGCCAACACAACTAACATCAAAAAACAAAAATTAAAAATTGATTTCCTAGCTACCAAACTTTAATTCCAAAGAGGGTTTTATAATTTATCCATTCACCAATATTTATTGAACATCTGTCATACACCAGACACCGTTGTAGGTGTTGGGAATTCAATCATGAACTAAACAAACAAGTATTCCTGCCTTTGTATGACTTAAATTCATTGATGCAAAAAATAGTTTAAGCATATTAGTAGTACTCTGTTCCAGAGCTATTGTTATCAATAATTCATGCTGGGATAGTTTTTGTAATTTACAAAGTTGTTTCACATACAACTATCTTGTTTAATCTTCAAACATGATAAGTAAGGCAACTATTATTATCTCCATTTAACATATTAGATCCCTAAGATTTGATTAAATTCACACTAGGATTACATGAATAGATCTAGCTATCCAGGAGTCTCAGATTGAGGTGGATCTTCCAGATTTCTTTGCACCACTCTCCCATTCATCTACCTCACACCTGCCTCAGGCATGACATGTAGTTCTAGTTAGAATAAAGCTAGAGACTTAGCCTATTCTGTGCTGTCCTATGTGGCAGCTACTAGCCACATGTGGCTATTTAACTTGAAATTAAATAAAATTAAGTAAAATTAAAAATTCAGTACTTGAGTCACACTAGCCACATTTAACGTACTCAATAGCCACATGTGGCTAGTGGCTACCATATTGAACAGCACAGATAAAGCTTTCCATTCTTGCATAAAGTTCTGTTGGACAGCACTGGTAATTGGGTTTTTGTCAATTTCCAAAGAAGAATAATGAAGAGAAAAGGTAGAGAGGGGGACATTAAGTGCTGTATGTTTTTCTTTTTTGCACCATTAAAAATGACATAAAAGACTATAGCATCAAGTTGTGACTTTGGCTTATAGAATATTCTAGTATTTTAGGACTGTTTTAGGACACAGAGGATTTTAGTCATGGTTTATTAATTTTGGGTGACAAAAATCTTTGATTTAGTTTACAATTAAGAATAGCTCAGGGCCGGCCCCAGTGGCCTAGAGGCTAAGGTCAGCACCCTCTGCTTTGGCGGCCCAGGTTCGGTTCCTGGGCGTGAAGCTACACCACTCGTCGGTGGCCATGCTGTGGTGGTGGCTCACATACAAAAAGAGGAAGATTGACAACAGATGTTAGCTCAGGGCGAATCTTCCTCAGCAAAACAAAAAAGGATAGCTCATATTTAGCAATTTGATACTTTTTTTTGGATAATTTGATATTTTTAATGCCAGCTACTTTGTTTTATAAGATGTGTGCTGGGTGCTGTAAAAACAGCTTTTGTTAAGTGTTTTAAAAGATACACATTCGGTACTAGTACTACATAATTCTCCAGTTCCTGGGGTCTTACTCAATGAGTCCTACAGATGAAGTCCTCGTCCTCACAGCACTCACGCTCTAGTGGGTTCTTTGATATCTAGTACAATCACAACAGTGATATAACTGAGAAACATTAAAATTTGGTAATCTGACCACGTGAAGGATTAAGTTCAAGTTACCAGTGGTCTTAAATTTTTCTACTTCCCAAATGGCCAATTATTCTTCTGAAAGTTTAATTCTGATCTCTTGTGAGGTGCAGCATACACGCAACACTTGCTGGGAATGTATGAATGAAAACGATGTTAAAAATGAGAGAAAGCTAATACTTGGGAAATGGTTTGACATTTCTTATTCTTCAGTGTATGCATTAGCTCAGCCTTGTGTTACTCAGAATAACTTACTCTAATGGAGTAAAAGAGAAACTCCTGAGTTCATCTAGGTTTTTATCTTTAAACTGTGTTCAGGAAGGAGGATAGAGACCATGCAGTTTAAATAAAACACGAATATAGCTTCATAACTTTATCAAACTTATACGACCTTAAACTGTCACACATCTAAAATTTGGTGAGGATTACACAGTATTGACTGTGTTCTTAAGTATAATTTCACATAAAGATAATTGTGGAAAGCCTGTGTGTGTCGCGTATAAACATATACACATGTTTTCTCATCAGGATGCGCCGGCTGCTGCTCGACAACAGTTTTACACTGACATGTACTGTCCAATCTGTTTACATCAGGCCTCCTTCCCTGTTGAAACAAACTGTGGACATCTTTTTTGTGGTAAGCAAACAATAATATACTTGGTAAAAAGTGACGATTTAGACTATGTGTGTGGGGGCCGGCCCCGTGGCTTAGCGGTTAGGTGCACGCGCTCCGCTGCTGGCGGCCCGGGTTCGGATCCCAGGCGCGCACCGCTTCTCCGGCCATGCTGAGGCTGCGTCCCACATGCAGCAACTAGAAGGATGTGCAGCTATGACATACAACTATCTCCTGGGGCTTTGGGGGGAAAAATAAATAAATAAATAGACTATGTGTGTGCACAGGCTGGATTCCTAATTTTCTCTTTGGCACATTTTGTATTTCGTGAATAGGGTAGATTGCTTCTGATATCCTGCTCTACTTGTCAGCCACTTTTATTTAGTGTCTGTGGGTTCAGAGATTTAAAAAAACTAGTTATTCAACTTCTCATTAAACAGAAGTGTGTTTCTTTGAATAGTAATTCAAGTATATCAATACCATGCGGGCTTCACTGAATCCCTCATTGTTCATCACCTTTTGGTAGTTTCATTGATTATTCATCTTTCCCAAGGCAGGAAGTTTCTTCTCTCAAGGACCCTGCCCAAGACCTTCCCTTAGCTCTGCTACCTCTTTTTCACTCTGAGTCAGGACAGAAGTTCTTAGCCTCTCTTTCTTCATGACCTCAAGAGGTTTGGTAAGGGAGAATGAGAAACCTAGAGCATGTAGTGGGACAAAAAAGGAATGTTGATGTCGCTTACTTAGTTTCAGTAAGGGATGCTTTCTAACCCTGGTCGTTTTTCCTGACCCTCCGGAAAGATTTCTTAGGGAATAATGAGATATCATACAGTCCTTGCTTGTTATGGTCATACGAGATTGGGGACAGTTAGTTATTACATGCCTACTATGCGCTGGACACTTAACAACTTCATCGCATCTGACCCCGTAGATGAGGAAAGTGAGGCTCAGAGATGTTAAGAAATTTTACAAAGGGTAACCCAGCTGCTAAGGGAAAGAGCCAGGTTTTAAACTTAGGTCTCACCTCAAAGCCAATGCTGAAGTCTTTGTGAATGGTGGCTTATACAACTACCCTCTACTTAAGATTTAGCCAATCACTCAACCTATTTTTTATTGGTAGTATTTCTTTCCATTTGAACAGCTGTATTCAAGATAGGGTTCTAATTGCTCCCAAAATGTACTCAATTTCCATATAAAGACTAATTTAAAATGTAGTATACAATGATCCTATAAATTGCTTTCTCCTCTTTGTATCTTTTGTCTAAGATTCATTATATAGAATTCTTCGTTGTGTAATGTTATAATTTATACTGTTGGGAATGACATAAGTATTGGAAATCCATACCATGCAATGCAGGGTTTTCTACACCTAGTGCTCATTTAGTAAGTACTGACTAATCCCGTTATTGCCTCATCCGTTAATTTCAACCTCTGCCCTAAGGTTTTTGCCTAAGCAGATAACAAATTATAAAACACTATTTCAGTGTTTATCTTTAATTATCTGATGGAAATGCTAATGAGCAGCAAAATAATGAAAGATCAGACTGGGAGAATTAAACGGCCATCAGAGAAAGCAGATACTTTTCCCCCTTTCAGACCTCTGGTAGATACTCCTAATCAATTTGATGCTCTTTTTCTGAGTCTGGACGTGGCCTCAGCCATCCTATAACGCAGGACTGCAGGCAGGTGTTAGGAATCAGTGAGGTTTGGCAGACAAGATGAACTTGATTTGCCAACCCAGGCTTAGGTATTTCACCGAGTGCATAACCCGATCCACTGAAAGATGGCTGTATCGTGTTCTTGGTTTTACCTCTGGGACTGAGGTAATAGGGTAGATTGCTTCTGATATCCTGCTCTATTTGTTAGACACTTTTATTTACTGTCTGTCTCTAGGTTCAAAAGTTAAAGAAAAAACTAGTTATTCAAATTCTCACTAAACAGAAATGTGTTCCTTTGAATAGTAGTTCAAGTACATTGATGCAGTGTGTACCAAGAGCACTTGAGGGCCGGCCCCATGGCTTAGCGGTTAAGTGTGAGCACTCCGCTGCTGGCGGTCTGGGCCCAGATCCTGGGCGCGCACCGACGCACCGCTTCTGCGGACATGCTGAGGCCGTGTCCCACATACAGCAACTAGAAGGATGTGCAGTTATGACACACAACTATCTACCGGGGCTTTGGGGGAAAAAATAAATAAATCAAAAAAAAAAAAAGAGCACTTGAGCTTAGTAGTTCCTATACATGGAACGACAGCTCTGTTCGTTTATGGTGAGTTGAGAATAACAGCGACAGACTTCACCTTGCTTGCATTCATAACCCACATTATTTTATTTAATTCTCCAGCAGTTTTATGAGGTCTTATTCCCATTGTACAAATAAACACATTTAGAGAGATTGTGCCCCAGATTAAAGTCTTGGAGTCATCTCTCCCACCATCCTATTTAGGTGGATCTCTCTTTTTAAAGAGGGGGAAAGTTGAGGAAAAGGGAGAACATCAAGCATATCATAGCAGATGTGTGTGAACTGAAGTGTCTGATTGCTGGACCCTAGCTTCTCAGTGCAGGCAAGTGGTCGTTCCATAATTTGCAAAACAAGGACACCTATACCCCAGTTTGTGGAAAGAGATGTGGGATTAAATAACTTATGTCAAAACACACTGAACTTTTGGGTGAAAAGGAAATAGATAAATCTAAGGCACCATTACAGATGGTAATAATAATACTAACAGATTTATAAGTTGTGCTTTTATATAGTTTCTATACGAAATTGGATTGCTCAAAGAACTTAATAAATATTATCTAATTAACGCAGCACTCTGAGAGGAGGAAAAGAGATGAGATAAAGATTGTTTAGTTTTTAAATTCATCTTCAAACTGTTGAGCCAGTTTCTTTCCACAGTCACTGTAATGTCCCATTTGGACGGCCTGTGCTTAGCCGTTGGTTTGCTCACCGGTCTCCTCACACACCATTTATTTCTGCCTCCACGTTGCTCTTGCTGTTCATAGAACCTGGAGCATCCTCCCCGCTATTTTCTGCCTAAGTCTTACCTCTGCTACAAAGTTCAGTTCAGATCCTTTCTCCTCTGCAAGTTACTCTAATGCATCCCAGAGAGTTCTCCCTCTGTGCACTCCTTTTGTACTGAGTTAATATTACACAATTCAAGATGTAATACCTTCTGATTGATTTGAACATGTCACCTGGGTCTCCTCAATTTGATTGTCATTGCTTGTTCTGAATTCTGGACATTTATTTGATCTGGAGGAATCAGCATAGGGAACACAGGAGGGCTAAGCTAGGTTGCTCCAGCAAGAGTAAGACTACAGAGAAGATCCTGGGGGCTGAGAGAGACAGGAAGCACTTGGTTCAGATTCACAGTGGGACCTGGGTGGTCCGAGAAACAGGTGTCCTGCAGAGAAGAAAACAAACTGGCTCCTTAAACATCACACGGTATTTAAAAGTATTCCTTCTTCGTTTGTTCCTGGTCTGAACTTGAGTGCTTATTCTCTTAGTTCACCAACCACTTTTCGAGGTCTATAAGCTCTTCCTTTAGGCTGTGTTTAGCTGTTTTGCTGCTCATGAACACCTTAAGCAAAACCAAATACTTCCAGTTCTAAAGTTGATTCAGTTATTACACTGGATGATAAACTTGATCAGGGCAGAGAGCATGTAATCTCTGTGTCCTCTGGTTCCTTGCTTATACTGCTTAATTGCTGTTAGTGATGTTTAAGTAACTTGGCTTTCTAAACTCTTAAAAAAATAGAAGTTGTATTTTTGTAACATACGTACCAAATTTGGAACAGAAAATTTATGCTGTGATTTGTTGATTGTCATATTTACAATGATGTTTAATTACTGTTTTATTTATTTTACATAGGAAATGCAATATTTTTTTTCTTTTTTTTTTTTATTGATGTTTTAATGGTTTTTAACATTGTGAAATTTTGGGTTGT